CTGTTATGTATGCGCCGCTGGGGGGGGGGGGTGGTGTTATAAAAATTTCGCCTTGACCATGATCTGATTTAATTAATTTTTAATTACAATTGATTAATACCGAGAGGCAATAAGCAAGCAGCGCTGGGTACGCCGGGGGGTCTCCGCTCCTCCCAAGACGCACACCGACATTTCTGGGGTACAGTCTCTTATACTCCTCGGTCTTGGGTTTCAGCCAATCCTGTCGTCTCCTTCACCCGAATATCGACGTGGGTCCTTTTCATTGTTCTCCTCCTGTTGCTGGGGTCTTGTCTTCGGGTGAAGAAACTTCTTAAAAGAGTTATTGAATTCCTTGGTAATGCAGTAACGGGGGATGTCTATCACAAGCTTAACCACCATCTTAGTCCCCCTAAATTCCATTTCTTATACAGTTAATACACAAGTTTCACCTCATCCTGTAACAGGATGGATCTCTCGATTACCTAACCCCCTTAAGGCATTCAAGCGCTTAAACAAAGTACCCCTTTAATTAGCAAAACGTTTTAGACATTCAAGTAGTTAAACGAAGTACCCCTTAAAGTAACAAAGCGTTTTGATTAAGAAGGATTATTCCTTTGTTTCTTCTTTTTCATCGTTGTACTGACAGGAAAATCTAATCCTTCTTCTACGTTCTACACACGAGGCGACGATTTCAAGGATTTCGGATTCCACCCAAAGCGCAACGATGACGAGGACTCCTAAGTCGCTGACACGATCCGTTCCTATAGATCTCACGGGGGGGGGGGGGAGGAGGCGGGGGGGCGGGGGCGGGGGGCGGGGGGGGGTTGCTCCGCGAAGAGCGGGCGGGGCGGGGCGGCGCGGCGCGGCGCGGTGCAGCGCGGCATCGGCAGACCCGCAGGTGCGTCGGCTAGTGTGTTACAGTGTATCCCACGCTCGAGCGCGGGAGCTTGTAAGGGGAACGCGATGTTCGGTCCTCCCGGCCACCGCCCCTGCGGTAATCTGAGCATTTACTTGAGCGCGGACAGTTTCTGCTACCGACTGCGTTTCTGTCTCGGTACGTCCCGGCGCAGAGATGCCTTAGCGGCCGGCGTCTGTCTCTCGCTTGGGCTTGCCTAGGGCCCGGTAGTGGGGACGGGGTGGCCCGTGTCTCTGTTTCTTGGAGCTGTCCCTGCCGGGAGCTCCTGCTCTCTGCCCGACTCTGCTCCCTCTCGGTAGTCCTAGAGGCAAGGCGGCTTTTCCTTGCCGGCCAGGGGTTCTTGCTTCCCCCTCAGCTTCCTCGAGCACCTTGGGGAGCTCCCAGGCAGGCTGAGCGCTGACCGACCCTGGCAGGTGGAGGAGTCCCTGCCCCGGCACACGGCCCCTGGACTGCAGGGACCCTGCTCGCCAGGACACCGCTGGGCACCCCTGGCTGCACACCCACGTTCACACCCTGCAGCCAGCCCCGGAACGAGGGACCTGCCTTGTCCTCTCACTCCCGTGCTGCAGAGGCAAGCCCTGCTCTGCAGCACATCCTCCTCCTTACCTAAACAAGAGAAACTGGGGGAGGGTGTGGGGGGGGTGTGGGGGGGGGGGGTGGTGGTGTTGGAATGTATCAAAGACTGGCAATTAGAGTGACCACGGGAACTAGAGTAGGTAATTAAGAGTGACCTGTCCCTGACTGGTATTTGGAAGATGTTGGAACTGGCAAGGAACAAGGACGGCGGAACCGGAAAGGATGTCGATAGGAAAATCTGGTAGACCTTTCACCTGATGTAATCGCAAGGCAAACACAGAAGTGCTTGGCTAATTGCTTGGAAGCATATAAATATCGTGTCATCTGTTCAATAAACGATGATCCAGCTTGCACTCTAAGTCTGGGTCCGTGCCTCCGTCCTCACACACGAGAACATCACTAGTGGGGTACCCTGTTTGGATGGTCACCAAGAGCAACATAATCCTCCCTTCTACCCTCAACCACGCTATCTTCATCTCTTCTCCGAAGTTTCAGACACATTTCCCCAAAACCACAACCAGAAGAACGTCTTTGCAATCTCTTCCCAGCCCGTTGCGGAGGGAGGAGGCTGGGGGAGGCGCCTCGGAGCGGGGTGGGGGGAGGAGGTGGTGGGCGCCCCGGCATCTGCAGAACCCCCGGGTGCCTCGGCTGCTGTATTTCAGCGCGTCCTGGGTTCAGCAGTCGCAGCCTATTTTCTCAGTAGCTGGTGCAGTGCCAGTGTCCGTCCGTCCCGTCCCGTCCCGTCCCGTCCCGTCCCGTCCCGTCCCCCGCCAGCCAGAGACGTGTTTTTCGCGGCGGGAGGGGGTGGTGGGCTGTGTGTCGGCAGACGGACACGCGAAACCAAAGAAACAACGAAATCCCCAAGCCCCCACGGAACAAAAAAGTCTGGCGAGCGCCGGGACCTGGGCCGCCGCCTCTGCCCGCCCGGTCCTGAGACAAGGGGGCGCAAAATCCCACGATGGAATACAGAAACCTTTAGAATCAGTTTCGGGTCATGTTAAGTTTGATGGCTTTGTAACAGCAGCAACG